CCCGGCGCCTCCCCCCCTTCCTTCCTGCCGCTCTCTCTGTCTCCAACCTGGGTGCACCTCGCAGACAGGGCGTCTCCCAGCCCGACGGGCCGCCGCGGCAGCACGTTCCCCGCAGCTCCTAGCTGCGCAGCGCCGTCGGGTGGGCCCGGGAGCCCGTTCCCAAGGGCCCTGCGGCCCCGGCGTCTGCAATGCAGCCAGCGGGGCAAGAGGGAGGGGGCTCTGCACTGGCCTAGGTGGGTCCCGATGACCGCAGGGCTGTGACAGTGACTTTGCACCCCCTGGGAATTCAAGGCTCTTCCCATTTCTGTGGTCAGAGCTCGAAGTCCTTAACTAAGTGTCTAGGGACCTCGGCCTACTCTGATCTAGCCCTGTTCTCCGTGACTTGTAGCGCTGTAATTACCCACTTGGATACTTGACCAAAATACATTCTCTTGCCTTCCTGCCACAAAGCTAAACACAACTCTCAAGGCTCTTTGTCGTGTGTCCTCCCCCCCTCCCCCGCACAGCCTTCTCAGACATCCCAGGGGAATGCCAGGGGCCTTTAAATTTATGTCTTATCGTGATTCACTTAAACACTCACCCTCCCCCGCACAGCCTTCTCAGACATCCCAGGGGCCTTTAAATTTATGTCTTATCGTGATTCACTTAAACACTCACCCACCCAAGACCTTGCACATAGAAAAGTGTGATCCACACATGCTTCCAAAGGGTCATCTTCTGTTTGTTTTTCCTTTATATTGTCTGTTGGCTTTAAAAATGACGTTATGTCTTTCTGGCATCTGGGTTAAAAATCTACAGATGAAGCCTCTTGACCCTACCCAATCACACTATGAAAATGACACACTTTTGCATAGCCCTTAACTTTGAACAACCAATGGTGAATCTATGGCTAGAATCCAGGCGAAGGATACCCTGTGCTCACACTTCTAAAGCACAAAAAGCAAGTAGGTGATGGACAGTCTCTCTCTGGGTCTGGCCACAGACGGAACATGAGGAAGCCTGCTTTGGCAGTCAGGACTCAGCAGCATCGCCTGACTCCCACTAGGTCCTTCAGAGCCCACCAGCCTCTACCCTGGTCCCGCACAGGAGCCTCACAATTTCCCACATGTGCGAGGGGAACTTCTGTGGGTGCCTAAGGCTTGGCTCAAACCTCACCACACTTTGTGCATTTTCCTGTCACCGTGGGCAGAACCATGCCGACAGCACTGTCTGTTCTGGAACTGCAGCACACCTGAGTGGGGGCTGCTGCTCTCTAAGGGGCACAGTACATGGACAGTAGCTAAGGACACTTTAACTTTGGACAGCAAATGCCCAAATTCGGGGTCAGACACTGTCACTTGTCACCTATGCACTTGGAGCTGTTTCTTCGTAGCCGCAGGGCAAGTATTAAGATGAGTTGTAAGTGAAGTTGTTGCTACTTTCTGAACGAAATCAGGGTACCTTGAACACTCTGAGCAGTAACTAGAAGGTAAGAGGCTGATAGTTCTGAATTTCAAGCAATGCTCTGTTGCTGGCCTGAGCAGTTTTGGTTTGTACGTATAACCTGTGCACTATTCCGTGTGTATATTGTACCTTCATTAAGATCTTAAATGTTAACAAGGTAGCCCGAATATCTCTGTGGACAACCACAGCGTAGCTGGGTACACTGTGTCTGCAGCTAATTGTTGGTTGCTTTGGGTAGACTATGAACAACACCCAACTGGGTGAATGAGACAAACATGAGGGACCACACCTGCCCTGTGCTGTAACATGCCAGGGAATGCATGACAGTGAGCATTCATGCATCAAGACTGAGCTAAGAAACAGGGATCCCTAGGCTGAGCTCTCTCTCTCTCTCTCTCTCTCTCTCTCTCTCTCTCTCTCTCTCTCTCAAGCTCTTTTTCTTATTTTGGTTTGTTTTTGTTTAAAAGGAAGGGGCAAAGGGGCAGAGTTCACCTCTGGCTATACCAGCTGTCTGGGGAGAGCCCCCAGGGAGTGTATGACTGATCCTTCTTTCTCTTTCCAGCAGCCCCATGTCCACACGGCATGAGAAGCAAGTGGGGTCAATGGGTGCTGAGTACAGGAGTCATGGTTGAGCTCTCCTTTCTAGGCTGTGGTCCATAGGTGGGAGCTTTCCACCTGCAGTAATGGCCCTGCAGCAGGAATGCCCTCTTCCTACCCCACGGATGGCATAGTCTCCTAGGAGGCACTTCCTGCCACTCTTTGTCCCCCCTGCACCACAGGAACAAGAATCCTCCTTGCCAAGGGCACAGGGAGTCAGGTAGAGCTGGGGTTGGCTGCATGCAAACTTCTGCAGCTAACTCAGAACTCTGACAGTGTGCTCCAACCAGATGCCCACAGGTGGGCAGTTGCACCTTGAGGGTATCTGTGTTCTCCTCTAAGTTAAAAAAGGGTAAGGCATGCGTGTGACTCAAGTAAATTATCACACTGGGGTTTGTACTGGGGTCATTTTCTGAAATGGAGAAAACGAAAGCTTTCATGAGTTAGTTGTGAGTCAACTTGGCGGGACCCAGACCAAGTGCTGTTTTTTGTCCCTTAGGCAGATACAGTCTCCTGTCATCTTAGCCCAACCTCCACTCACTGGGGACCCTAAGTGCAGACAGGGAAGAAGGGAACTACAGTTTATTGGGCACGTGTTATCTGCTGCCCTTGTGCCGGGCACTCATGCCCATTACTGTTCATTCTCTCCAAGTAGGACAGAGAATAAGACAAAGGCTTCAGGAAGGCAGGTAACCTGCTCCAGACTAGGCAGCTGGCCAGCAGCAGACCTGGATCCCAGCCTCTGAAATGGCACCCATTATGTCCTGTTCCAGGCACTTAAAAAGGAGCTGTCTGGAAGTTACTATAAAAAGGAATGAGTTTCTTTACAACAGTTAAAGTTTCAGGTGCACAACAGAAAGGCCAGATCAGCTGATTCCATTCCATACTCCTCAGGGAAATAAATGATCGTTCACAATTCTGGTTGCCATCCTCAGGGATGCTTTACACTGGCTGGAATCCTTTGAAGTTAGATGCGACCATGTGATTTCTTTGGCCAATGAAAGGTAGAATGACTTGTATTATTACAGACGGGAACTTGAAGAGCCAGTGATGTGCCCACCACATTCATTTCCCCAGCCCTGGTGATTGGGAAAGCTTGTTTATATAAAGCAGTGGCCCCTCTCTGCCTAGTTCCTTGACAGTGTGTCACAGGCAGAGCCCTCCCTGCCAGCCACAGGCACCACACTGGAAGTATGACTGACAAACTGCTGACATTGAGCTGTTTGTTACCGCATCATAGTCAAACCTCTCCTTTGTGGTAACAATTGAGTGTGCTTTTGGACAGAGCAACTTCCAATTAATGAAAAAAACAAACAAGAATAAAGTGAGTATTTTACCATGAGTAAGGGCTGGAGAGCTGGCTCAGGAGTTAAGAGCGTTTGCTGCTCTTCTAGAGGACCCGGGTTTGATTCCCAGCACCCACATGGTGGCTCACAATGGCCTGAAATTCAGTTTTAGGGGACCTATCACCATTTCTGGCCTCCTCAGATTCCAGGCATGAACATGGTACACATACATACCAGTAGACGCTTGCGCGCGCGCGCGCACACACACACACACACACACACACACCATAGAAGGAAACAGTAGTAAGTCTAGGTTTTAGAAAGGAGACTGGATCTCACAAAGAGAAGTCATGTCAGGAGGGCTCAAGGCTAACCCATGTCAGGAGGGCTCAAGGCTAACCTTGCTCACTGAGTCCTTCATGTCCAGCTCTCTGTGTTGGGCAGCAAGGGGAAGACTCCAGGTAGACAGGGCTCTCCTTCAGGACATCAGCACTTCTTAGTGAAGAGCAAAGACTAGTGTCCATGAGGGAGGCTCCCTGTCACATGACAGTGACTTCCAGGGCAGCAGGCCAGTATGAGAAGAGCCAAAGGTGGTCAAATCTGCCAAATTCCTCAATACTGTGATAGCCTCCTGGATCCTGGAAAGCCACTTCTCTTTTAACACTCCAGTGGGTGGATGACTTGGGGGACACCATAGGGAGCCTTACCAACTCCCTCTGCCCTGCCAAGTCCTCAGATCGGGTCTCTGGACTGTTCAGCAGGAGGCAGGTCCTGGCTTGGGCCATTAGCTTGACTTTGAGCTCCAATTCCAACACTAGGTTCCGGTGCAGCAGGCTCTTCCTTTACTATGCACCCCCTTCCTCCTGTGGAAAGTGGGGCTAGACTACAACTCGCTAGAATTTGTAAAACAACCTGACTTGACAGCATGTGCCTCTGAGCCTCCCTTCAGGGAATCTGGATGCTACCGCTGAGTGAGCAGTCCTATGAGGGCAGCTGCACAAGTGAGCCTTGCCAACCCGTAGTGCCCAGAAAAGGAATGCATTTGGGTTATTTTGAACCCCACCCCCAGCTGTGGAGCAGCTTGTCTGCAGCAATATACCCAGCCAGCACAGGAATGGACAGTGGCGGAGGAAGGTGTCCCTCGATGGACACCAGGAGGGAAGAAGAGGGACACTTCCCATAAGAGTGACAACAAGCAGGTTTCTCTTCATGGACAAAACCCACGAAGAAAAACCACCTTTAGCTTTAGATTGTGTGGTCTCATCTCTTCCCAGCACTGCCAAAGCCCAGTATCACAGCAGTGGATAAAGTTCATGGCTATTATCCATGTTCAAGTGAGGGTAAGTGCAGAGCATCTCTCTCCAGGGACAGTGAGTGTAAGATCAGAAGAGGGAGTGACTGGGATGAGTACCCTAGGGGTTGAGGGCCAGATACCCTGGGACACCTTTCCTAGCCTGTACTGTAGGACAAGTTACTAGACCCCTTTTGAGATGCAGTCTTCTTGTTAGAAGAAGATGGAAACAGCTCTGACAGAAAAGAATTAATGAAATGGATATAAAGAAAAATCCTGGGGCCTGGTGGGTGGGTGCTCAGTAAGGCTCATGACCAGCATTGGGGATGACACCATCACTTTGGAAAATATACCCTTTCCTACTTCCTATGTATTAAAAACAAATTTGCCTTCTGTATAGATGCTATAGGGAACTGGCAGATAACTTGGCCGTGGCTGATAATCTCACACAGATGGAGGAGAGTCACCCTGAGTCCTATTCTGTGTCCCTTCAGGAAAAGCTGGGGTGAGAGGGCCCAGGCCCAGACTCTAGCTAGCACCCTCCATGTTAGCTTCAAAGTTTCACC